AAAAAAAATACATGTAATATATTATTTTATAAATAATTATATATACTTTTTTTTTATTTATTTCGAGCTAAAACGAGCCGAGCACGAGTGAATAAAAAGTTGTTCATGTTCGACTCATGTATAATTTGAGCATTAAAAACTAGTTTTTGTTTGGCTTGTTTACTTAACGAACGAGCCGAACACGAGCTGTTTGCCAACAACGAGTTTTTTTGACAGTCTTATTGAGTGTATAAAAAAAAAAAAAAAAAAAAAAAAAAAAAAAACTATTGTTAATGATAGGAGATTAGATGTGCTCCACATGTAATTTATATATTTTTCTTTGATATTTCATATATAAGGCATGACTCATATACCATATAAGGGATAAATACTGGAGTGGAACGAAAGCATTTGTCCAATTGGAAGAGTTTTTCATTATGTGGGTCGGGGGTGCGAGAGCGTTAGCCCCGCGGTACGGTACATGAGTAATTTTGTAATTACTTATTATATTCTAGGGTTATATATATGTCTGTTTGTAATCATAGGTCTTAATTTTGTATTATGTACTTTTTTTTTGGAATTGAAGAAAAAGCTGCCGCTCTGCTCCCGAGAATGTAGACATCTTTGCCGAACCTCATTAAATCTCTTTGTGTTCTTTTGAATTTGTGTCGATTCTTTTTTTTTTTCTTCGCCCTAATTTTTTAGCACCATAGCTATTAAAATTTAGGCGAATGTAGGCTATGTACCTTCACACATGGCAACCATCACGTTTGGAAGAAAATGAATGAATTGACTAATGGCTTCGCCATCGTTGGTGTTCTCTCATGGCTGTCAAAATACTGATATTTTTGATGTGATATAAAAGATTTGGATGGTATAATTGTAATAAAAAAAAAACTTTTGATGACATTAATATAAATACATAGGAATTGTGTGGCATGTTCGTACTCAAATGAACCTTCTCCTTTTGCTCAGCTTTGGATGTCTTTGACCTCTTTGCTCATCAAACCTAAAAAAACATAATAATCAAAATAAGAAACTCAATCATCAAAAAATGTTGTTAAATGACTAAAAACTTATTAAGAAGAGGTGAAACTTAGTTTGTATGTATGCTCGGTATTTTTAATCCCAGAGTCTATAAAAATGTCAAATTAATGACTAGATGTTTTAAATTGGTGCTGCAATACTCCCCATAAAAGATTATTAGAGTTTCAATTTAATTAATTTATGAATTATTTTACTATTCTTATAAACTTTGAGATTAGAACGACTATATAAAATCATATTTTAGTGTGCTTTGCTGTTATCCATATGGGCTTGTTGTTTGGCAGGCTGCCACCACCTTCATTCTGCTGGGCCCTCAGCCATTGTTGCGATCTTATCATGTGTGTTTAGTCGGTCCTACAAACAGTGTTGAAGCTGTTGATTATTTTTAACAATGATTTCTCTATGCATTATGATGTGAGTATATATGGTGTCATATTATCGTGTTTTCTTAATATATTGTCCCGTATCATTGAGCTATTGTATATATATATATATATATATTTCTCTGGCCAGTATGTGTCGGCCATTTGGCAAAAGCCTGAGTGAACTGATTTGAAGAAGTTCCCCACATTGGTAACTGAGTCAGAAGTTGAGGAGAAGGACGAAAGAGAACAAGAAGACGACAGGTTATAAAAAGTGTAGCCTAGTCCTGAAACTCCTGTAACCTACTTAGTTTCTTTTTCATTTTTGTACAAAAGAAAATAAAAAAGGTCTCGTTAAAATATTTCTAAATCTTTTTTTGACTATGAATGAGAAATGAAATATTTTGATCAACTGTACTTTGCAATTTTTGCTTTTACACACACACACAAACTTGAGTCTAGTTGTGGCAAGGAGTTCTAAGGTGGGGCCAAAAGGACACTTATTGGAAAAAAGTCATTGATTTTGAATAGGTGAATGTGATTGTACAATCCATGGTTCATTTGATATACTATCGTTAGACCTAAAACTTACACCACCTATGACTCGGTCGCTTAGTTAAGTTGTCCCCTTGAACAGATTGCTCCTTACGCTAAAAATATTATAGAGAAATTGTCGTAGTTTTAACGGGGGTAACTGTCTAGACTTGCTACTCTGGGCGATTCATATGCTGCCCACCGCTGATCTTGTCGCGAGTAGGCGGTGGCTAGCCACCAGGGCTAATTAACCAGTGTTCCGAGGTAAGAGACATGAGAATTTTATGACTCATGGATATTGAAGGTAATATTGTTGCCTAATTAGATGTTTTACATCATTGTCAAATTAATCTAGCCACTCAGGTGAAAACAATGGTGGTTTGACTCATATTCCTTGTGTGTCAGTCAGACTTGATGACCCTTTGCATGAACATTGACTAAGTTCCTTGAGTATTTGTTCGGTCGGATTCAATTGCTTCATGCATCTACTATAGTTAAGTTTTCATAGCGTCGATTTGGTC